CCTGATCGGCAGTACAGACTAAGCAATCCCATATGGAGATGTTAATGAGCTAGAATTCATTCAATAGCAGTGAGATTTTAATAAAATACACTTAAAAGAAAGACCCAAATCATGTCATTTAAGACTATAAAATAAGCCTAACTTCAATGTGAAAATAGTCTGTTCCCCCTTTCCCCATCTTTATTCCAAGAAGTATGGAAACTGTATTTGGGGCTGGTATTACACCATAGCAATCTGACTCACATAGCAATTTTGTATACGTCGTAAACATTTGCTTTATCTTATCTCTTTTCTTTATTCAATCAAATAATTAATTAAAGGTGTATAAGAGGATCTGCCTAATTTCATTTTACTAAAATGCTAAGACAGTTAACGAACCCAGTGGCTTTGCCCCTTTCTGTGAGGAATGTTACGCAGTAAGATGTAGTTGTGTGTGGTACATCAAAGTCACGGAGCATCTTTACAAGTTTTAATCTCTTCTCAAATCCTTGCTCTAGAACCTATGCTGTGATTGCAATGATATTAGAATGGTGGCCATTTTCTAGAAGATAATGCACTATTTTACACTAGCTAGAAGCTGAATATTGCATGTAGCTGCTACACTTAAATAAGATTTAATAAATGCTATGCAATCTAAAAGAAAGCTCATATTATGTCAATGAATAGTGAGAGCATATCCTTTCTGACAATAATTATCCATGACTGAAGCTGAATTTAAGTTTCAGCTGAGATTAGATCAATTTAATCTGATAAGCATGTCAAAGACTCCTAAGTGCCTTCAGTCAAAGAACACACTAAGAGAATATTAAACCAGATAATATATTCTGCTATGGTATAGCTTGCTGAGAAGTATTTTTAATAAAAATCTGACATATTTTAAGTCATATATTTTATCGTGTGTGTGGTCTTATATTGTTAGAGGCCGTCACAGTGGTCCCAACATATTGATAACAGAAAGCCGCAGCACCTGCTGTGCCATCACCTCAAAGCCTTCGGTATGACGAAGCTACTGTTAGAGGGCGTTCGTCAATTAACCCAGTGAACTGGTTTCTGCTTTCCCCCGACATCCACTTTGTAAGGACAATCTCTGTAAATGGCAATTGGTAAGTCCTGGTAGCATGCTCAACGTAAGTAAATGTTGCCTGTAACGTGCGTTTTGGTCGTCTTTCTCCAAGACAGGTTTTTTGCCCTCTTCTCAAAGACCATGGTATATCCAATGTTATTTGCCCACCTCACTACCCAAAATACATCAATTCTTATGTGTTCTGTCTTTCAGATTCAGTTTTCAATGTGTATGAGGCAATTTAAAACACCAGAGTTTGTGGCAGATGCACCTCAGTTATCAAATTTGCATTTCTACTCTTAGCACTCTAAATATTTACTTTCCAATAGGTATGCCTAGTGTAATATATCTTTTGATTTCTTGACTGTGTAACTTTCATGGTCGTTGAATATTGATCCGAGAAAAATGAGTTTTTGACAATTTCATTTCATAATGTATTTGTTGGTGATTTATTTTTGGTAGGCTGAATAGTAAATCCATTCATTGCAATGCAATCCTATTTTGTAATAATCCGCTCAGTCAAAATGCTTTTGCATAAGGGATACAACACAGGTAATCCCCTGAGTGTGCACTGTCTAAATTAAAAACCATCTCAATGGATTTCATGCACTGAACACTAGTGACTAAAGACCAGAGGCGTTACACGATGTCTTTAAATGACATAATACTTGAAAAAAGTAAGCTTATAAAAAACAAAAGACAGGAACAAAAAGGGACCAAAATGGATGGAACATAATTCGAAACTTGATCTTCAAAGTAAATGGACATCACAACATTACAAAATATACTTCAATTGTTTTTAAAAACATAAATCAAAGATTAAATCATCAATTCATAAATTAATTATTTGTTTGCCACTATGAAGTTGTTCTTTTAGGATTACCAATAATGATACAACCTTCTTCAAAATATTTATACAGGATATATTTTATATGACATATTTAACTGATAGTGGACATAAAAGAAATATACATTAATAAAATTAGTTGATATAGAATATTATATGAACACCAAAATAAAAGCTAAATAGGTTACCATCACCTTTATTCTGACTCACAGTGACCCTAAATAACACATGGTTGAAC